TCCATTCATTATCCTTTAAGTCTCTTGCTACTCAAATAAAACTGTCCAATACAACGTATTTTACTTGTATTTTCCATTTCAGCAAACCTTAAACATAAATGAATGCCTTGTGTTCGTCCTTTTCAACTCTAAGATTGCAGATATATTCCATTAATGTTCACATCGTGCTGATTTTGACAACTAAGACCTTTATTCATCCTTTTCAACTTTAATTCCTTCATCATTATAATATCTAACATTATACATTCCATTAGCATTCTTCATCTCCACTGATTTTTGATTATAATGAATGCCTAACTCACTTTCTTTTTAATTCAATTTATATCAATAGCAGCCACCAGCTAGTCGCAGTCATTAAGTAAAACCATTTTTGTGTATTAAAAAAAAAACGAAGCTAAAACCAACAATAAAGCCCTGGCAAAACTCTGATGAAAAGCGACACCTAAAATCAATAACAGGTAGTTAGCTTTAATGGAGGCGTGCGTGTATGTACATATCTGGTAAAAAAGTTTGGTACAGAGAATAATGAGAGCTATGATCTATAAAATAAATAAAAAATTGTGAAGTGGGTTATTATACAACCTACAATTTATAAGCCGAAGCTTAACTTATGGTGTTAAACCCAAACATACTGCAAATTTAAATATCTGGTTTCACTACTATTAGAGTCCATACCTATTCAAATTAAACAGTTAGTATTGAAAGTTCACTTAGATCTAATGATCTATCATTGTAAACAGCAATTAGTACTGAAAGTTCACTTAGATCTAATGATCTAACGTAAAACAGCCATTAGTACTGAAAGTTCACTTAAATTTAACAACTAACGTTGTAAAACAGCAGTTAGTACTGAAAGTTTACTTAGATCTAACATTCTAAGGTTGTAAAACGGCAGTAGTACCGAAAGTTCACTTAGATCTAATGATCTAACGTTGTAAACCACAAATCTGATAAAACATTTTCAGTACCTTTAATATCTAATGGTCTTGTGTAATCCAATAAATAATAGTCGTGTATTTTGTCTTTAGGGCAAAGTTAGCTTAGGATCTTCTTGGGATTCGTTTGTATAATAAATGTTAACCGCCTCTCTAATGTTAATACGGTAATAATAAAAAAAAAATTTTAAAGTGTATATATGTATATATAAATAAGTTATCTGAATAATTGATCTACATTAGCTAATCAAACGAATTTTCTCCTATGACATTAATGTGGCTAATTTTCTGATCTCACAACAAAATTTTCAGAAACGCCGGGTAAGCTATACTACATTTGATCCTTATAAATAAATTAGTTTAAGTCTTTGTAGCTTGATTATTAAATATTTTTAATAGAAGTATTAATAAAACTAGAAATATAAGGGTATAGCGACTTAGTGAAGTGGTGAAGTTGTTATACCCCCAAGCAGTAAAGTATAAGTTCAATTCCCGCGGAAGGCAAAAAATTAGATTTTAGAAAAATGGATTCGGCAACTATTGTCGTGGTTGGGAAAACTCAAGACCCTGTAACTGTAGTCATATAAAGATAAAAATTAGAAGGTTCTGAAGCATTTGTATAATAAAGGAGTTATACAAAGGCATACAAGCCGGTTTAGTTAGTGCAAACACAAAATAAGTCCTTTGGAATCACAGAAAGCTACAGAGCCAATACAGCAGTAGGGCATTCACTTGAAAAGTTCTGAATAGAGAGGTAACACAGATCTTTGATGATACTATATGCAGATTAATACCTGGAGAACCAGATAAACTGAATGGGACCGAAGTGTTCAGCAAGGCACTTCACCAACCAGGCCGTCAGAGGAGTAACTAGAAGAAAAGGATCCAATCATAGGAACCAAGAGCAGATCATAGCCCTTCTGGGCCATCTGAATTGGTAGTTTAAGATAGCAGGGAAACTGAGAAAAGTCTGTAGGTGTACTGGGGTTTGAGTGAACTCTATAAGGGCAGTAGTAGATAACTGTAGCGGCTTTGACTTGCAAGTACTTGTTCTCGGACTTGGCATAAGTTACCAAAGAAAACTAGGCAATACAGAAATAGTAAGTACCGGACTGCTCTAGCAGGTGATGCACTTAAAGATAAATTAGTTAATCATGCCAGTAATTCTATAGGTAGACGTAATGATCTTGAAACTAGCATAAAGAAAACTCACAATTTGATGGAAAATCATGAGTTATAACATTTATATGATTGGCTAATTTATGTAGATCTATGCGTGACTATTGACCAATCAAATCAGATTAAAATTTTTTCGATACACGAAATAAAGTAAAATAAATTTATTAATAACAAAAGTGAAGCTTTTTTTAAAGCTAAAATAATTCTAACCCATCTTTTAACTATTATACTTTACTAAAAACATGTTGCCATATGTTATCATCCTTGGGACTATACTATCAATTAGACCACATCACTATTTTTACTATATAATAGAGATCTTAGTTTTCATATCTGTTTATATATATATACTCTTTGTTCAAGTAAATACCAAAATAAGCCTTGTTAAAAGCTTTATATTGCTTGATCTATTTAATAAATATGTAAAATTTTATATTAATATAACCTTCATGCTTTAACATTTTATAAATCTAAGATTTGGCTTAATAATTTAAACATAGTAAAAACTCAATAAATTCTGCCAATTACCAAACATTTACCTTTATTCTTATGAAAACTCCATAGGGAAAGCAATTGAAAACAATTAAAAAAGATCTTCTGCTAGAGATGCTCAAAATGAAGAAATTATACTAATCAACATGGGTACTTTAAATTTAACTTATTACAGATAAATGGATCATGAAATTGCTAGTTTTTAGATTACAATTATATATCAGATTTTCAAATGCCTACATAAATAGTTTGTGTAATAATATGTTTGGAATTTATCAGATGTGAGTTTTCTCTATGCTCTTGAAACTTGGACTGACTTATGTATCATATGTTCTGGGTGAGGTTAGACAGATTAACATAGGAAACTCAGATCAGAGGGTTTAATTGAGTAATTTAAATAATAGTAGGTTACAGATATGGCATCTAGTGTAGTACCTAGCATATAGGTAGAATACTTAATTAGACACCCAAAAGGTGCAGATATGGCTAGAATGTATTCTCGTTAGAATGTACTTGTCTGAGGCCTCTTTAAAAAAGGCATCACATGATCCTAATATCTAATAAAAGTGATAAGCTGAAGAGGCTAACCTTGACTACAAAAAAAAATAAAACTAGAAATATAACCTCACCTTAATATTAAAAAAAGTTAATTTAAAATTAAAAAAATAAAAAAAAATTTAAAAATTTTGTTTTTTTTTTAGTATTAAGGTAAGATCATGCTTTTGTATTTTTATTAATTTATAAGTCTGTATACTACTATACAATCTTATTGCTTACTCATGTATCTACTAACTAACTAATCTCAGTATACTAGACTTAGACTACTTTATCTATGACCTAAACCTATTAAAGCCTTAATGTCTAACTATATTTTGTATACTACTTCTGTCAATCAATTTTTGATTTATAGATTCTTTACATTTCTTATACTAGCAATACAATACTTTTAGCTTGATACTCTGTATGATATTTATTACAGATTCTATTAAGTAACATCTGGTAATTATAGCCTTATAGTTACTTCTAATATTGGTATTATAGTTTTATATAATGTTGGTCATATATATATATGTTTTGCTAACAAATACTTCTTAGAATAGTAAGAATTACAGAATATGGCTATTGAAACTTTTAGCTGATTTTTCATAAATGTGTTATTTTCAATTTGCAAGTATTAATTAGTATTTATTTTTGTTAGTATTTCTGTATTTGTATTTTGTAATACTAACTTTGGCCACTGTCTACAGTATCTTTCCAAAATAATATCTTACTACATAAAGTAACCTCTTCACCAATGAGATTGTTGAGTTCACAAATAGTACCTAGTACTATTCAATTTTAAAAATAATGTTCTTGAATAAGACTCTGAGTACTGTAAACAATAACTAATGGTACTCCTAATCAGGTATGACTTTGCTATTTATAAACTGCTTTTTACACATTCTTCAAGTTGTCTGCCAATCTCTCTCTATTTTTAGATAATTTATTTTTTTAATCTGATATTATACAGAATGTCAGAGATGCTTTTAATTCTGATTGACTAATTCTTTACTACAGATCATTCTTGTATTTACTATTTTTCTTAGCACTCCAGTTTTGTTACTGTTGTATTACTCTTTCAAGCAAGTACTTCAACTGCTGAAAATGTTGGTGCTGCTCCAATTATCTAATCGAAGACTTATATGTGCAATCTTTATATATAGACTTTAATATATATATTTTCTTTTATTCTTTTTATCAAGACTATTAGACTAAATAATAGATTATTACTCTATATAGTTAGAAGTTTTTGTCTAGTTAGCAAATTTTTTTCTTTTTAGTAATAGTTTCTTTTAGATTTTTAGTATAGATTTAAACTTGATATTAATTTTTATTTTTTATAATATATTTGTTTTTTTATTTTTTTCTTGTTTTTTAATTTTCTAACTTTTTTTTTTATAAGAAATTATTATCAGTTAGTGATATTCAATTGTAAGACAGAAATTTTGATAAAATAAAGAATAACCTACTATTGAATCTAAAAAATAAAAATTTTTAGTAAGTTTTGAACCCAGAAAAGATCAAGTATTGCTAGGTAAATCATATCTAAATACAACATAGCAGTTTAAGGTTTTGGTTTAATTGCAAGTAGTATGCTATAGCAACTGCAAAGTAAAACTGGATAAGCTTAACTTATGGTTAAGATACTACAAACTGTAATTGTTATATCATCTATATAGTGGTTCAGTTTTTCTCTAAAATAAAGTAAACAAGGATTGCCAAAAAAAGACAAAAATTAGTTTTTGCCAAAAAATTATCTAATGAAATAAAAAAAATCTTATTTATATTGTTACTTAATAAAAATAATAAAAACTATAATAACAAAAACAGTTTTTTAAAGTCAATTTTGGTGTATTAAATATATATATCACTTTGTTTCTCTAAAGTAAGACCTAATATTTTTATAGTAAATTACCATTTCTAATTATATAGCTTTTTGATCAATTAGCGGTATTAATTATAATTTAAATAACAGAAAAATTATTTAATAAAGTTTGGAACAAATTTGTTCCGAATTTGTATATAGATTAAAGAATACTAAAAAATCCGATATTTATGGCTTAGGCATAATTATATGGGAAATATTTGTGGATGCAAACCTTTTTATGATGGAGAACACGATGGAACCCTTATTTTAAATGTTATATATGGCCTTCATCTCAAGTTTATCGATGGTGCTCAAAAAGAATTTGTTGAGTTGATGGAGAAGTGTTAGAGTAATGATCCTTTTGAACGTTCAACAGCATTTGTAATCAAGAATGAATAAGTTTTATTAATCAAAAAATTAAGTATAAAAATTTTTCATTTCTTAAACTATTAGCTTTCGCGCATAAGAGATTAATCCACCAGCTATATATACGAGCAATTGAATTTTTTTTATCAATAGAACTTTAATTTTGCGAAATGTTTCGAATTACATATTTGATATCAATAACGAAACAAATGAATTATAAAGTGTATCAGTAAAAAAAAGTTGTCCTAATTAATGTAAGCCGTTAAAGTGAACTTGTTTTACTTGTCGTATTAAACTAGGTCATTGCTTATCAGAAATATACTGATACCCAGTAACACCATCAATTAGTTTATTATAGATGAATGCACTGTAACTACTTCTATAATCATCCAAAAAGAAGTGGATAATCGACTTAGACTGAGATATATAATTCAGTTAATCTTATTACCCACAATCAACAAGTAAAACACACAATAATACTTAAAATAATACCAAATATTTTATACATATAATTCTATAATGTTTCTAAAAATCTATTAATAATAATCACCAAAAAAACCAACTTTTCTTAGGTTTTCCAATTCTAACAACTTGATCATTCTTTTTGCTCCATATTAATTCTCTTGTTCTTTGTTCTTTATCAACTTCTTCAACTCTCTCACAAACATTGTCTAATCTTTCATCAAAACCATCTTCATTAACGATTTTATCAAATATCTTTTGTAACATTTTTGAATCAGCTTTAATCTTTTGATTTTCATCGATCATAATAATATTATCATGATCCATCATTTCTATCCATTTTGGATTTCCAGTAATTTCTCTACCCTCTTCTACTGAGACAGATTTATCGCCAGATTTTACAATTTTACGAATTAATTTCCAAGCACACGAAGCATATTTTTGATCATCAAATGCACTTTCTTCAAAATTAGGAATTAGACCTATTCGATTAATTATCCAATTTCGTTCTTCATCTTCTAATTGTTTAGCGGCCTCTAATAGAAACATAAAAACAAAAAATATAATAATGAATTAATAACAATAAATGAATAATATAATGAATTATATACTATAATAATTTAATAATATATAAATCATATACATGCATATAGATTCTAACAAAAATTAAAAGTTACTTTGAATATCATCTGCTCTAGCTAATTTAGTAATATAAGAAAGACGACCACCAATTCGTTCAACAATTTCTCGCAATTTGTCTTCAGACACCTTTTCCTCCTTTTCCTCCTTTTGCTTATTTTTCTTTTGATTTTCTTGCTTATTTTTCTTATGAATTTCTATTAATTTTATTAATAAGTTTGCTGCCTCTTCATCTTTTAATTCTCTTACTCTTATAACTTCCATTCGAGATGCATCTCTCTCTTTGTTATAAATTACATGTGAGGATTATATATATCAAATAAAACAAGAAAATAATGTAAAGCGAAATCTTTACTCATGCGTTCGTATATTGTATAATCATCCGTGTTAAATACCATTGTCACCATCTTAGAAGCAGCCCATGATTCAGCACGTTGCTGTAATAATTCTAACAGGTCTTCACCATCTTCATCATCTTTAAATGCATGAATGTTGCTGATAACAAGAACTAATGGTTTTTCTTCTTTATTTTTTTTGAAACGCTTTTTGGCAACGATTTCTACCATATTTAAAGCTTTTTCAACATCAAGTAATGCGGAACCTATGATTACCCACCAAATAAATAAAGCATAATAAATAAATAAATTGATAAATATATATATCTATATATTATAGATATTATATTGTATCAAACTATATATAAAATTTCACGGGTTACCTCGTTCAGGAGCTTCTCTGGCAAAAAGTTGGCCAATATAATCTTCTCTATAAGTATATTGTAAAGCTTTTCCTAATCTGCATTTAAAAATTTCACTGTCCGAATGAGCTTCAGCAAATACAACATCCTTCTGATTGTTTTCTTTCATTGCATGAAAAATTAATTGAGTTTTTCCTGTCCCTCGTTCGCCTACAAGTAAAAAATATTTTCCCCGAACGTTGCCTTTTATAGCGTCACTAATTGTTTGATATTCATTTCTTTCTTCGAAAACGTCTAAAACTCTTAGTGTCGTTAAAGATTTTTTGAACGCCATTTTTACTTTGTGAACTTCGTTCCATTCGTACCTGAATAAATCTGAATCAATTTTGTTTTTTTTTAATTGAAATTTGAAAAAAGTTTTTAACTACTTACCATGCTTGATAAAACACACCACCAAGACCAACAGCAGCTAAACCCATTACGGTAGTTAATACAGCATCCATAACTCGAGGCGATAGAATTGGTCGTTTCGTCTTTTGACCATTACTAGTGGGATTCTTTTTTTTCTGTTTTGGATCATTATCTTCATCTAATGCTGTTTCAGCAGATTTTTCCACAATTGGTTGAAATGGATCTATCATTCACATATAAAAAAATAGACAAAGTTTATCTGGTGTTTATTTGAATTTCATGATATTTTTAATTTTCTTTAACAAATTTAATTTACCTGGAAAAGGATCCCAAACACCTGCAGCATTAGTATCTTGATTCAAACTTCTTTTTAGAATAGTTTGAGAAAGTTTAGGAAAATCAATCTTAAGTTTTGGATTACTATATATCAAGTTGAATGCGTTCATATGATTACTGTAATACGAGCGAACGATAGCATTCTTTTTTCGTATAAATGTTGTATAATAAAGGCGCAACTTTAATGTTTTAATTGAGTTGATTCGATTAATTCGATGCATTGTAGAAATCGAATTCGAGAAAGTTAAGAATTTGAAGATCAATTCAATTTCGTTTTTAGGAAAAAAGAATATTCTATTAATTAACAAGAAACTGTTATCGTAAAATTTGTGTTACATGACTTTGAAAAGTATTACATATATAAGAATGGTTAAACTGTACGAACGTACGTACTTATCTAGTATGTGGATTTTTTTTTTCCTTTATACAATTAGATAAATACTCGTAAACCGCTATTTTTTTTGTACGTATGTGCATTAATTATTCTACGTACGTACATACCGTTACATATATGCAGCGGTAGTTGATAAAAAAAAGTATTAAAATTTTCGAAGCCAAAATGATGTCCATAAAATTAGTGTCAATTGTAACGGAATGGGGATAAGATGATACGTACGTACGTACATATCAGATATATGGAGATAAGTTGCTATGTACCGTACGTACGTACGTATTTGCCACCAGCCAGATAACTTCGTTATTTGGAATATTACCTAATCACAGCAAAAAAAAAAACACGGGTGATACCGATGTCGAATATTATACGTATACCAATAGCTTGCTAAACCTAATGTCATTAAATATTGCCTCCTTAGGAACCCAGGTGCTGACACATTTAAATTCAAACATAGATAATAGTCTATGTTATTGAACTATAACAATATAGCTGTTAGGCGAGACCTTTTTTGTGTGATAACGAAATATGAAATTTAAAACTGGCAAAAGACAAACAGCGTACGCACGTAACCTAAAATTAGAAAATATGAAACTTAGTGAAACCCCGTGAGATCCAACCCCCGCTAAAAAAAACGACACTTGAAAAGATTAACCTATAATTGGTAACCATTCTTTCATTATGTCAAAATGAAAATTTGGTCACTAACCATTATTACGTCCAAATGAGAGCCGCAAAGCAAAAATCTGTGGTTGCTGATTTTCCAAAACTTCATTTACAGAAACGATTCGATTCTGTAAAGTGAAATTTCCGAAATCAGGATTACAGGTTTTCGCTTTGCGACACTCAAATTATCGTTATACGTATGAGTAATACATAACAGTATGTTGTTTTATGCATATATTAACACAACAAAAGTACAAATTGAAGGTATAGCACTTTGATTTCTGGCTCATGTGATTGATGAGACTTCGAAAAAGTATCATCCAAACCGTTTTTAATTAAACTTTTATATTGTTATACTACATTTGCGTAAATAGTATATAACTAATTTGAGTCTAATAATAGGTATATAAATAGAGATACTTATTGTAAATACAGAAATAGGATAGCAGTTTTTAAGAAGTACTTTTTTTGTTTAATTGATTTTGTACTTTTAGTGCCTTGTACGTAATAATAAATGGTTTCCTATCTTTAATGCTTACGACCCAGAGCTAAATTGGCAGTGCAGTTATAAAGTCTCTCTTTGTCGTAACACCATTACAAATTTGACATATGAGTACCGCCAGTAATTCTTGATTTTCGGAAATTTCACTTTTTTAGAAACAGGTAATATCAGATTACTGGTTTTCCCTTGGCGACACTCTATGTATTATAAAGAGACATATCTTGAATAATTTTGTTAGTGTTACCACAAATTAAATTTATTCATCATTTGTAATCATTATGATATAAACTTGCATGTTACCGGTGATATTGTGTATTTTTTATTTTCATTTTTCATGCTTGCGGTAATGTTATGTTGCAACATGTTTTCGACTAATTTTTAAAAAGAAATTAAGTTTAAATAAAAATACGAAGTTTTAATTTTAGATTCTGGTAATTTAACGTGGTACGGTAATTAGATTGTAAAAATTCCAAGTTATACTTTGATTCAAAACTTAGCAATAATAAATCTAAAAAAAAATATTAACAATTACAAGGACTTTGGTGTTACGTATTAACTTTAATTAAAAGCCGATGTAAGCTAATTTAAATATTAGAAGTAATAACGATAATACAAATTTGCTATTTATCAATATATATTTTCTTATCAGTTATATGGAGCAGGGCTGGTGCATATCTGCAATTGCATAATCTGCGCATAAACTTGATAGCATAATTTGCATATCAGGGCTGATATCGCATAATCTGCGCATAAATCTGGAAAAAAACGTGTATATAGCGATTAACCAAAAACAAGAAAGCACCATAAATTCTACATAGTATCTATCATGCTATTTCAAGTACTTCCATTAAACTATACATTTAACGTGAGGACGTGCATGGTTTTATTTCGAAATCGTTATAGTTTTTAAAAAAGGCATGATTTTTGAAATAGCGCCTATGCCCGTTATTTCGAGAATTTATAATAATTAAAATTAGTTATCTAAAAGAGAGATAGTTGCGTGAATAAGCTAAAAAAAAATAATTATATGAAATACACCTTAATGTTAAGTAAAACGCCTAAGAACTTTCTTGATATTTACATTGTAAAATAAATTTTTTTCTTGATTTAAGGGTAGGGTGTATGTAGTTCATTTTTCATATGATCTACGTGGTATATTAGATTTTTATGTAGTGAATAAAAAATTGCTTCTAATAAACTTCTTAATATCTTAACCAATTTGTATAAAATTTATATAATATGTAATTTAAACAGCTTATTTATGATATTGAAGTTGCGCAATATGCATTGCTTTAAAAAAAAAAATCAACTTTCAAAAATTGTTTTGCAAATTTTGTCAACATATTATAGACTATATAAGAAAATCTACAGTAAACAATCATTAAAATCTGATAAACACAAAAATAATGTTATTAAAATTACAATTAACTTATCAAAATACTGCTAGCATTAATTTAAATAACTGCAAACTTATTAATCTTGTTTTAATAAATACATTTACTAAAGCCAGAATTTCTTTATATAAAGTTGATAAGCTTAAAAGCTTTTTTTGAAAATATTATAAAAATGATAATTATTTTATTTGAATATATTCTATTTATTAAAAATTAATAATAAATTTAAATTTATTAAATGGTATTATTACAAATTTAAAACAACTTTGTATTAAATATTTACCAAAAGTATTTAAGTCTAAAATATTTTTTATTACTATAAATGAAACTACAGATGTATATAATAGGGCAGTTATATTTTTTATATTTTAGAGTTTTAGTAATCAAACTAAACCTGTTAAACTAAATTTATTAATACTGTGAATAGTATTTTAATATTTAGGCTCAACATCCTTCAGCTACCTCATGGGTGTCCAGAAGCAGTCTGCCACACTAGTCTGAAATTTGTTTTATAACCAGAAGGCTAATATCAGATTAGCTGCATAAACTATACTAAAAGAGTTTGCAACTATTTTAAATTAATTTTCTAAAGCTATTAAACTATTTATTTTCTATTCTTTTTATATTCTTTTTTTTTTCTTGGATGTTCTATAGAATAGGTGGGCAAACTTCACAAACTCAACAACTCCACTATTAAAAAATTAATGATTACAAATCATTAGCAAAGCTTATTTCTTATATTGCCCACCTATTCTATAGAATATCCTTTTTCTTTAATC